GGAGTTGGGTCCCCCCCCCCCGAAAACCAAAGGAATGAGTGCCGGGATCCATTTCCCCTTGTTTTTCTCTTTTGCTTCCATCTTTGCGATTAAAGACACTTGCAGTGGGTAAAGAAGGCCAAATCTTGTAAAATTTTGAGCACTTCACAAAATACTCCTTCAAATCATTCATCACAAGTAATTATATTCCATGATGCACGTCTCCACGTTAATTGATTGCCAGCCGAGACGTCTTTCTCGTTCTCTAACGAAGACACAAGAACAAAAAAAACCCCACAAGAGTGGCGAGGTTAAATCCACGGAGAAAGGAAACACAGATGTGATAGGTGCGTTAGTGAAAAACAGAATATTGACTAAAAGGTCTATTCAGGCCGTAGGGGGCTGAGGGATCCATTCGCATTAATAAATTACACCGAGTCCTGAAGTGCCAGCCACAAGTTTCAAACGTTGGGCACAGCGCGAGAGGCCGAGAATTTTAGACTTATTTTTTTCAGTGTTCCATGACGCATTTTTACGAGAAGGCACGGTTCTATTTTAAATCCAACTGACAGAGAAATTATTTCACCAAACTAATACTGATGCATATGGATGATCCTTTGTGTTGCTGATAAGCACGACGTCACGATGACGTGCGAAAGGCTATGGTTCTGTAAGATGTGAGATGGACCAAAATTTGACTTATCCCCTTGAGATATTCTCTTAGGTTTTTTAGTGCCAAAGTCATCTTCAAAAGTGCAATCGACGTGCTTTCAATACTGTCTTTGGAATAATATTTACTCCAATACAGGGAATACCTAAATGAAAAAGAGGAACGCGTGGCGACGAGATCTACAGCTGTTTAAAATCAGATAGCATAGCTCGTCATCCATGTAAGATAATTGCAACCTGTTATGCCACTTTTCAAATTGGGCCATTTTAGATACAACTGGCTAATCCGGTCGACATGAAGCCTTGAGGTTTTGTACAATTCTAATTATTTCCAAATTAAGGATACGCGTTAAGAGTAATTAATTGCAAATTTTCGTCTACATGTAATTCGTACGTTTGCAGCCAACGGTTCATTAGGAACAACTGACGTGGACCACGACAATCTCGCATCCACTGGCCAACGAATATACAATTAGGATTTTTTAAAAATATTATTTATTTATTTTGAAGTTGACGATTAAGGTTTACAATTGAATATGGCGGTTTTTATGCTGTAAAAATCGGATTTTAATTAATGCTATTGCTCAGTTATAGACACTTGAACCCCCTCCCCCAAAAAAGAGGAAAAAAAACAGTATAAATTTGTATAACATACGTGCATCATAAAATTATCAGTGCTGCACTGCACAAAAAGTAACGAAAATCGGAAGAACAGTCTATCAAGACGAAGACGCTTAAAATGTTTTTTTTTTTGCTGATAACAAGTGCAGACATCAATCATGGGGAATAAAATTTAAACCATTGGGAATTAAGAAGCTAAAGCTTAATTGCGTTTTGTATCAATGTCTCGCGAGACATTTCTCAAAGGACGGGGAAAACAGGTCGGAGGTGCCCCGGGGCACTTCTACCGAGAGAAGAATTAGCATGCATGTATTGGGCCGCTAGTTTTGCATTTTACCCGACGAACATATTGTCATCCAGAAGAGGGGAACAAAAAAGGTCAAATGGGATACAGAAGGGAAGGGGAAAACATACATGTATGAACGTCTGACCCGTGCTTCTTGGTTTATTGGTTTATTATTACTAAAAAAAATTCCTTTCCTATTTTTTTCTTCTTTCCTAAAAGGTCATAGCAATCCCTGTTAGTGGGGCAGATAGGGGAAGTATTTGGGGGAATTTTGTTTTTGATGATACAAGCATGACATTTGGCACACGGTCAGAGTATAAAGATATTTGACTATAGTGCCGTCGCAGATTTGTCCTTCAAAAAAATTATAGGTAGAATAACAAGCAATTTTCACAATTTTCAAAATAGCTGCCATTGCTTGTTATTTTACATATTTTTTTTTCAAAGAACAAATCTGTGATGGCCCTATAGCCAAATATCTCTCTGATGGCATTGATTGTGTTCCAAATTCTATGCTTGTATCATCAAAGGCACAATCCGATCACATATCTGCTGTATTACAGGGCGTCCTGAAAAAAAAAGGTGCATGTAAACCCCTCCATTTTTGCGGATGTTTACACCATCTTCAAGGTACAATTGTAACAGATTTAGCTTGAGAATACCGTTTGTTTCTTTGAGATTGCTTTTGTAAATCCAAAGTTAAAATCAGTATAGTCCTAGTTTAAAACCAAATCACTTTACTGTTAGTGATTTTAACATTTTTAAGCAGAGTGTGCAATATTTATTTATATTTAACTGGTCTCTTTCATTGAAGTGAACAGAAGTAATGGGAAATGACTTGCAATATAGTTCTTCCAGCCAGTTTTTTTTTTTAATTCACCGATATTTCTGTCTTTTCCGGGTCAAAAACTACACTTTTCCGAGTCATTTTGACAAAAAGTTTCATCTTGACCCGACTATGGACCCCCAAAACGGTTAAGCCAAGTAGATCCCGGCTTCCTGTTCAAACTGACCAGGGACTTTTTAGAGTGTATACCAATACTTTTTGAAAACGGTCGTCGGATTTGGTTTCGGTTATCTGGGAATCTTGTTTTTAATTCAGTCCAAATAACAAGTACGTACTTATATTCAGCATTATTATTTATGTCAGGCTTCCGGCGGTAAAAATAAATCAGCATATTGTATGCTTTCATAAAAAGTTGACTGCAACAACATTGTTATTGCAGTCAATCCGGGCATTTTCGCAGGTTCCCGCTTGATCAAGAGCATAGAAAGTCACAGTTGTCAACCACTCAACAGAGCGTAGCGCGCGCGTACCGTCGAACTTCTTGCGGATCAAGTCAGCCTGATATAAATAATAATAATAATATTGGATGGCTTGTTTTCGGTGGATACAAGAATATATTGCACTCGCTATGACAATATTGCACTCGTCTTCGACTCTTGCAATATTGTCATAGCCCGTGCAATATATTCTTGTATACACCCCATAGCCATCCAATATTATATAATTATTAATGAGACTGGAATGGAAGTCTAGCCGAAAGGTAATCCGCATGTGCTTATTTTTCCTAGCGACGAGACTTTTTAGTCGGAACTCGAGAATTATATACAATCATGAAAACTCATCAATATGTCAACTGGGTTGTTTCAAAAGGGAATATGATCACTTAGTGTGATGAAAACAATGAACCACTGACGGTATAAATCGAAACATTCCGGTGACAATAGGAACGTTTCGGCGCGTATCGGAAAATTCCCTCCCCAAGCATTGCGGCTTTATCCAAAGTCCCTTGCGCGTAACCCGGCGATTAGTTTACGCATCGAGTCGGGACAAGAAGCACCCTGCGGTGTTCTGGATATTGTCACTGATAACATTATGCAAACAGATGGCTTTGCAAAGTGAGATTTTATTTTTTGTTGGCAATGTCTCAATGTTAATCACATATCCCCCCCCCATCTTGCATCACTTTGTATCGTGAGAGGGGGATTTTGACAGGGAAATCTTCATAGACCTTTATCACGCTGCCACCATTTTTGTCGTGTGACCTGTATCCGATAACAGTACTGAATGATTATGTTTTTAGTGCAATAAGGAACCAGACTATTTTTCTTTCTATAGCCTCGCTTTGGTAACGTTGATTTGAATGGGAAAAAATAAAGATGACTGCAGCATGAAAATGGTCTATTGCATATGGTTGCAGGCAAGTAAATCGGTCCAAAATTGCCTACGCCGGCCAAACCACGATTTGCATTGCCCTCAAATTCTTCGGTATTTGAGCATATTTTGGGCCATGAACTTGAGGGTTTGTAAAAATATGGGTGGAAGCCGTGCACAGGACTGTGAGCCTGTAGTTCTGTGCAATTTGGATGAAATTTGGGCCCTAAAATCGCTCTATTTTGCAATGGAGTGTAGGCATCGTTTTTCAAAATGGCGATGGGCTTCAGGACTATTTTAAGGGGTGATCATCTTCGGATGGAAATTTCTCCTAAAAGTCATCGGTTAACCCCCCCCCCCCAAAAAAAAATGAACAGAATATGAAAGATGATGAAATAAACTTTAATTTGATGTGTGTCTCGAACGCCTTGGTGAGTTGTGAGTATTTTTCCTGCATTTCTGAAGTGGGGGCATTTATCATTGGGGTCTATGGCAGTGGTCTGCAACCATCAGCAAACACTCCCTACCCGGATAATTCATTCGATTTATTGTTATTTCAAAATATTGTGCCCTTCTTCGAGACAAATTATACCGGGGGGGAATACACAATCAAAGAGAATACACAAGCTAAAATGGGGATGGAAATCCTAATAGCACGGATTCTATTGCGTAAACACCGACAAACGGAACGTCTTTTACAGCCATTTGCGCCGATCGATCCCCGGCAGGTCATCGCACGAAACAGGGAAAATGTCACTGCGATGTAGGACAATAAAAATCCATACTCGTCATTAGGTGGATGGTTAAGACGAAGGTTATATGCTCTTCCCACAAGAAAATAACCTCCAGACATTCACCCTTGTCTTGGAACAGAAAACAGGCTGCTGGTCTGTATATTTTCATAAATATATTACACGCAATCTATAGCTTGATGCTACAGACTTTCAAGGTGGAGTTAGGGGACAAGTGTTTCGTATCGCTGGGACAGGCATTAGTAAACCCTTTTTGTGCACTGGATGTTAATAAATAACAACGAATTTCCTCTGAGACACCCACAACGTATGGGCCTTATTCACGAGTTGGCCATTTTGTCGAGTTCCCTGAATGTATTTCATTAATTGTTAACTGTTTAATGGGATGGCGCCAGACCTTTTTATACAGACACAATGCAGCCTTATCTTTAATACTGTCATTTTTTTTTAATATGGCTTTAAACATTAGGGAATGTTTAATTACAAATTATTCATCCAAGCAGACTTGAATTTATTATAAATGAATTTGCTTTCATTTCTCCTCGCAAGTTCCACAAATTAAGATTTTACCTAACTTTCAATTCAATATGCCGACTAGCGAATAAGGCCCATATCTTTTCCGAGCAACACTGCGCGGGACCCGTTCCTATATCACATGTACTTGCATCTTCCCAATATATCATACATCTTACAGTGATGAAATATGAGCTCTCCTGTCAGGTTTCCTAAGCTTAATCCATCATCACTTGTGCGTGAGATCCCGATTGATCTCTGCCGGCCAGGTTCAACAACTTATCGGCCATTGCCATCACGGACATTACCAATGTTAATGACAATTAATTTAGTGGACAGAGTGGTATACCTACAAGGCATTGCCCATGCACATCAAAGAAATAATTTCAAATGCGCTCGGAGTCTGTCATCAAAAACACGACTTAATGAATCCCAGGTAAATTTGGGAAGTGACTCAACGGTTTATTCCACGGCTATCACAAATGCAGCTAGTTTTCATTGGTGAAATTGCTGATTTGGTGTGAACTTGATTTTAGAATTTTTGAAAAACAGTCAACAGAAAAGAACTGGCCATTTAAGAAACCAACCAGAGAAAATTCATATCTAACCACATGTCAAAACACTACACTGACTACAAGTGCGCTACACCTACACTCTCGAGTCATAAAAACAGCCACTTGTTCTTTTGGGGAGAACAGAGGACCCAGAAGGGGAAAACAGTGATAACCTATACCTAAAGTGTTGACAAGAACCCTGCGCAAGCGATGCTTCTTACACTTGGGCAACGATAGTTTCATTTCGGTCGTCATATTGGTCAAGTTGAAACACATACGTCTGTAATGTCTCGTCGTATTCTTCGCACGTGTATTACATTCCATTAAACGGTCAGCAAAACAATTGAATTGGCGAATTTTGTATCCAAAAATCAAATTATGAGCTTGTTTTAAAGTGAATACATTTTCGTGTCATTTTGTTAGGTGATGTGCCTAGATTTTATCAATACAAATTTCCGATCTGGGATTATAAGCAAACACCGTCGGCGAAGCTTTTTCCCCTTACTGATTAATACTATAGGGTACATGAGAATTAAATTTGTCTAATTTGACTTCAAGAGTTCCTGTTATATACAATAGACCAATTCATATATAACATTTGACGAAAATGTTCATAGGTTCACAATATACACTTACTCCACATGACTGTCACCAGATTTGCAATTAATGACAACAATACAATAATTAAATTCATTGTCGTAATTATTTATAAGATGAATTTGCGTCAGGTGGACGTAAATCAATATTAGGTTTTTACCCTTCACCGACGTATAAGCAATGTATATTCACTGAGCGTACAGTGTTTATACGTCGGCGAAGGGAATATTGATTTATTTCGTAATCGTTGATAAATGTTTTTGTCTGCACGTATTTACACGAGTTGGCCCTATTTAAAATCTCTATTCACAATTATGTTCCCAAGAATACCACTCTCTTTGTGAAATTGGTCCACTAGTTTTAAAAACTGCATCAATTTGCAACTTCCGTGCCATATACAAAATCAAAAACGCCCCAGTCCTCAAAAAATGTACGTCTTCAATATACAGTTAAACATAATGTGAATTGAAATTACATGTAAGCTGAACGGTAGGGCTCAATTATCATAAATATAATTTTCGCCTATTCATTCTTTGTTTTAATAAATAAAGAAACCGCACACTCCCTTTTTGTGTTACTTTCATCCACCTCGCGTAAACATAATCGGGTTACTTGAAGAGTAAAACAGCACAAGTAGGTAGTACTCCTCCTATGTCATTCTTCCTAGTCAATTTGTGAGGCTGTCGCCAGAAGATACAAAGTAGGCTACATTTTGTGTCTGGTATTTAAAAAAAAAATGACGTGAATGCCATTTCAGCCAAAAGCAACAAAGTGGCATTGCTGCGTTCTGAATGTTCCAACGTCAAAGTGTTGAGTATACTCAATATGACTGCAGTGCCTGCTAGCAATAAATCTGAAGACTAAATTCTTCGGGTTTTTTTTAACCAACTTGCTCATATCAACTTTTTGTGCTGCCAATTTCAACCCTTTATAATACATTGGAAATTTCTCACAGACGATAAAATCTTTTCAAAAGATTATTTGAAAATACCTTTTTAAATACGTTTACAACAGAACAACCAAGTCAACCTTCAAGTGAGTTTTATAATTTGTAGTGTTTCCACGGTGTGTATCGTCGTGTATTTATTTTGTGTTTCAAAAGGAGCTAGCCATAGTCTTTACCTGTTGTGTCGAGGTTTGCGCGTTCGAGTTGAATGTCGCCCTGCTGTTGTTTGTGCCGCGATTGTTCATTTCCATGTTACTTGACCGGTTGGTAAAGTAGTTCTTGAGTTTGCTTTGGCCGCGCCTGGTAGTAAAAGCCTGCTGAAAGGCTTTGCGGTATCGAGGGTTGGTGATGTTGTACACGATGGGGTTAACAGCTGAGTTGATGTAGACGAGGACTCGGCACACCTGTGTCCACACGAAGTCGTCCTTCGCCGCATCGGGCATGAAGAGATGGGACAGAGTGGTGACCTGGAAAGGTGCAAGACACAGGAAGAATATGATGCCGTTTATGACCAGCATACGACTCACCCTGTCCCGTATGTGTTGGCTACGATCGCTGAAACCTGATCGCTGGGCGCGTGCCACCATGCTGTTCAGAGCTCGGATGATCATACTGAAGAACACGATGTTGACTATCATTGCGATGACGAAAGGCACGGAGTGCAAAGAATCGGCGAAATCGCCCACCCAAGCGCCAACATCCAGCGCAATACAAATCCCCATGATGTTGGGATAGTTTTGGTATCTCGGCTCATTCGGCCACCTCAAGCAGATGGTGAAGAAATTACAGACACTGGGGATGAGCGAACATGCAAGGGTGAAGGAGCAGAACCAGACAATGGACACGAGACGTACCGGCCGTGCTCGCGTGCTGTGCTCGCGGTGGACGTGCGGACGACAGGTGGCATAGTACCGCTCAAGAGTCACCAGCGTTACCAAAGACACTGATGCGAAATAGCAAATATCCACCACCAGATGTACCAAAACGCAGCCGCTTGCTCCCATGAAATACTTATCTACGGATATGGGTGATACGGCGTAACTGACGACCTTTTCCAAGACGGACACAGTCAGAAAGACAATGTCGGCAATCGCAAGGTTGGTGAGGAAAAAGTTGAGCGTGGTCCGCATCCACGTTACCCGCCACAAGACGAAGAGGAAGCTAAAGTTTCCGATGAGACCGAAGACGAGGATCCACGGCATTACGATGGTGACCAACGTCTTCTCCGTGGAGTTGTACTCGTACGCGGCTGCGTCTTCCCCCGTGGATACGTTTAGGGGCAAGTTACAAGAAAGTGCCTCCACTGTTTCCATGATGATGGTTGTGGTGGTAGTGTTGTTGAACGACCAATATACAGCGTGGAGGAACGAGCAGATGTCTATCCAGCAGACAGCACGTTCTGCGTACGCGTTCTGTGTTCAACTTCTGGCGATCGTTAGCCAATGGTATTTTGTAGCTACTGACGAGAGCTAGCGTGCAACACGCGTTTTTATCGTCGACTATTGAGCCTGTACCGTGACAGTCTACCTAGCTGTGCCGGTGACGTTCCCGACGGCCGTTGCATTCTTCGTTATACAATACACTCAAGTGATGAGGTATTGTACGAAATTGGTATATGCATGATATTTGCTTTCTAGAGAATCGTTGAAAGGTTACAAGTCCGGGGAATTGGGCTGGCAAGTTTACATTCAGATATTAAAGCCCCCCGGAAATCTTGTAATTCCTCTGACTACAAAGGATAGTTAACTTATTTTGTTAATACTATGCAGTGCATAAAAATAAAATAACCTGCATATAAATGGGAAATTATGAAATGGGAAAATTTTCCGCAGTTTATTATTGTTGTTCCATAGAGGTTTGAATTTTTATAGTTTGATGTGCCGATCAGAATGATGATGTGTGGAAAGAAACTTCAACTCAATCTTTCCTTCTCCAAAGTAAATGACCCGATATTGGTATTGCACGCTGATAAAGGAACACTTGACAGAAATAAAATTAAAAAAAAATTAAAAAGTTCACAAGTTTTTGGAAAGTGGTCATACACATGTCCTACATGTAGTGTCATTAAAACATTGATGCCAATGCAGTATGAACCTTAAGGCCAAAAAAAAAGTCTCCGGTTTCTGGTATGGAGCTTGCCCAAAAAGTGGTGCGGCGACGCGGCTTTTTTTTACCTGACTTTTTTGCTTCAAATGTCGGCTGATGACTGCAAATGGTGCCCGACTAAACTTAGTGCAAAATGTACGGGAGTCCAGAGAGTCCACATAAAGCTTATTCTCGATCATACCCCCATCTAAAAACACGTTAAAATTGTGCTGCAGCAGGATTCCAGTCAAACCAGTGAGTTTGGCGGTTTTGAGACATCATCTTTTATTGAAAAAAAAACCTTTTTCATTTTGCCGACGCGCATGGCTACGGCGACGCGCGCGCATACCAGAAACCGGAGACTTTTTTTTTGGCCTAATCGTTTGTTTTTATTTTCAAATTAGCCTGAAATTTTTCTGCTAGTCTCGGATCGTAGCATTGCTGATCCATAAAACACGCATGAGCAGAACCATATAGATCCGAACCAGACTTTCTGGATCAAAAGATTGTGAAATAAGTACGGGTATATAGCAGCAGACTCTATAGTACAATGTCAAGGCTGCTTACGAAGTGAAAATAAGATGAGCATTGATGTTCAATGATGCTTGACAACCTAGAACGCAACACATATGCCTGCATGCGCATCGCAGATGTCGGTCAAGACATCGCAGATGTCGGTCTCATTAATAAACGGTGTGAAGAACGACACATTGTAAAAATGTTTTGGCAGGCTGCGTTCACATATAATCAGTGTGAAGGTCAGTGATTCCATAGTTCGATGCTGTGAAACGGAACACTGAGTGGTGAATCTACCGGGGCTTACAGGGTCTTAAATCCCCTTTCCCTAGTGGACCTCAACAAAATATGAAACTAAGCACTCGGAAGAGAGCGCACATTCCGTCAAGAAGGCTTAACAACTTCCCGCCATTACACACATCACCAATGCACAAATGTGGTTTCTAAAACACATCGTTAAACTCAACCATTTTGTAGTTTACATGAATGTGTTGGTCTATCTTTGCACTCCCGCACTGTAAAAAATGGTCTAGTCCATTGACCTGTGTGGTTAGATTAGGTGGGTGATAAGGCATAGTGTCCGGGTCAGTGCCACGCACACGAAGCTGGAAAGTTTTCCATGGGTAAACCAACCTTTAAAAAATCCTGCGTCCAGACGCAGATCCTGATCACTTCCAAAATCTAATCGATTTGTACTTGTACCACGGACCAACCTATACATAAAATTCATGAAAATCCATCCACAACTTGTTGAGTTATCCTGTTCATATAGACAAACCAACGCCGGTGAAAGCATATCCTTCTTGGTGGAGGTAAAAATCGTGCAGAAAAAAAACCAGCAAATGCCTGCAACACCCACTCTTGGCAGCTACACCCTCTCTCGATCCAAACCTGGATCCGCCCCTACAGTAGTCATGGTCGATGATGATGATGACGACCATTCTACGGCCAATCCGGATATGGACGTTTAGGCTAACAGAAAACACATGTGCTGTCCGCTTTGAACAAGGACAATGTATAGTCCAGAAGTAAGATCTCCTGCAGGCAACATAGGCCGTCGAACTGATGTTCCAGAGAAGGCTCCAAATATGATCGATTCTTCCTGTTTCCGTTGACAGGGAAAACATGTCGTGAGGACGCATTGAGTATGCTCGTCAAGAATCTCAACCACACATGCTGTCTCCCGGCTATATCATATAAATATCAGACCACTAATACAGATTACACTTTTATTTCAAAAAAAGGTATGAAGACCCAGTAACGCAATACTTGATATTACAAAATGATGTTGAAGTATTCTGACATAATCAGGTCCCGCCTTGACAGTTTTATAGGTGAAGCCAAAATGGTTTCGTCAGTTGTTCGTGTGCAGAAAAGGGTATGATTGCCGAGTAATAAAATGCTTGCAATGTCATTTGATGCATTCTGACAGTTTTTATGTTTGAAGCTAAAAAGACTGGTTAATTTGTCCGTGTATATACATATCATACTGACAACCATGAGCACTTCTTGAAATTGTTCACATTCATTCTGATGAATTGGGCCGACATTTCACCACTGTCATGCCAAGTTCAAGTGCCTTTATTGACGGGTGCGCTCTTCAGGGGAACTATACAAGCGGGTGAGCAGACGGCTAAAATACGATATATTTTATTGCATCCCCAGGCAAAATGCGCCTCGCTCTCGGCATCTGGGCCTCTCTGAAGACCTTACAATTTCGTGACGGATCATGCCAATGTTTGTGCCGAGATGAACTTTTGACGGCCAGAGCCGTCAGATTTCTCTCAAGCACAAGATAGAAGTGGACGTTAAGGATCGAAACTTTTGACCGTTTAAGTTACAGTTCTCAGGTTCGAATCAAGACATTTTTTTTACAAGACGAAGGTATATTATTATTAAATTATCAAAGTTCTCTACTACAAATATGTTATAAGGGAAATGATTTCATCAATATTTTCTGGAAGCTGTAAACTCACTTATGATCTAGCATCTCTGAAATCATATTTTTGATTCTTTTACTCTTGCAGAAATACTTATGAAATACACTGAACAGACTATAAAACTCCTTCTTTCCGTACAAAAGGTCAACAATGTGATCTTGGTGTAAAGATATATTGGTGTAAAGATATTGGAGTAAACATATTGGTATAAAGATGTAAATGTTAAACTTGCAGATGACAATTTAACCAAATGTAGAACAACTGTCGATAACCATTACGGCGATCATTGATTACAAGCAATCAGTTTTGGCCAAGGGTAATTTGAATGGATCGAAATAAAAAAAAAGAGGTGCCCCGCATATAAACAATCCTTGCCTTACCAAAACAATTTAAAAAAAAAATTGAAAATATTGCGCAAACACATTGTCCCACAAGTATTACAGGTTTGAAAACTGACGCTAGCAGTAGTTCTGTGGTACATTTTATAACAGCCATGGCTATGATTGACTCATCATCCAGTCTAAGTATGAAAAGGCAAACCTATTATAGTTAGGCCTACACGGGAAGATGGATTATCGATCTACGTCTTAAGTGTTCCTTGCCCACATCAGTTATTTTCGTCACAGACTTGTGACAAATAGATTCAGTTCGCGTTCGCCCGAAATGTCTGGGTTTCTATCCTCTTGTACATATGAAAAATAAATTCGCATGCAAAGCCAAATCTCTTGCGAAAGGCTTGGTCGTTAAACAAATATCACAATCCGCGATTATTCCTTGAAGGAGAGCGGACCGACAACAAACGGCAAACCAAATCCTCAAGAATATAGTATCCCTCTCCGGTTATTTCTGTCCTAGACAAAAAAAACACAATACGACAGTACGCGGGTTCGCTGACCGTCATAAAACCATTTTGTTTCAAAATAGTCCGAGCCAATTTTAGCTTTGGTTGTGTTTATATACTTATATGTATGAAGACCGCAGGCCTTTTCGATTCTACTTCTGATCAGTTCACTCCTTGTGGAGGAATCAAGCCTCATTTTTTGATTGCTCCCTTGGTTTTTTTTTAAAAGAAACCAGAAACAATACCGGTCAGCCGGTGGTTATGTTTCTATGGTGAGGCACAGCGCGCGACGCTTTCATTAAGCGCATGCAGGGATCCTGTTGCTTCGTGAGATTTTCATTGTCTCGCGAGACTCTCCGAGATCCGTTGCCGCAAGGAAAAATGGTCTGTCATTGACCCTAACTATACAGCCCAAAGCGACGAAGAGCCCCGTCGTGTCTTTGTATTTCTGCGTCACTTATTATCCCGTCAAAAGCTTCAGTTCTTTCTCTCCCCGAGGATTTCCAGGATTCATAATGTCGAATCTACATATTAACGAAAACCAAAACAGGTCTCACATCTAGGAAAGCTTTTTAAGAAATCGAGCCTACGCACTGAATGACGTAAATACGTGGTTTGAAAGCTGTTTCAGACCGACTTGCTTTGCATAAAACGATGAAAACATAATACTCGAGACATCGATGGACATATAACAATGAAAGGAAAACAAATCCTTTAGACTGCAAGGTAGTGTTTTCATATAATTCCCGTCAACTTCCTAAAAAAAAGTAGGTATCAAATGCCCCGCTTAAATCGATAACCGTAATCTGCAGAGCTTTTAGAACCCTGATGATACAACCTTTGGTCGGGATTAGGTAACGTACTCACGATCAGTCAATTCAAGTTGGACTCCACAAGTTTAGCCTCTGGTTATTTCAGAAGCTAAATAGGTCTCAGATTCTGTTCTCTTGATTTGTAATTCAGTATTCCCAGTTCACGCGGTATAGAAATTAGACCCCAAAACCCATGGTAAACGCAGATACAAAAGGAGTGTTCGGGAGTGAACTTTACAACGCTTGAAGTTTT